CTGCCTGAAGTCTTTGGCGTCTCTAATGCTACCGTACCCCGAGAATCCGAGAAGGGGATAATAAACTACTTTCAATCAAAAGGTAAAACTCCATTGGTAAATAAGCAGCATAAATATTCCTACATCGGTAAAGGACTATAAGCATACAGTTCCATACCTGGGTCAAATGTCACGACCAAATTCGAAGCCTTTATAGTCAAACCCGCAGCCTCAAGCTTCGATTCCTCAACCAGATCTTTATAACTACGGTTCTTTTTCTCTATTTGGAAAAGTTCTAACAATTGATCTCCGAATTCTGGGCTGAGCTTCGGCTTTTTCTTGCGTTTGGCTACAAAGATGAAAAGTTCCAACTTGTTAGTACACGAAACAACAAATCATCACACAAATACAACAAACGGCAAAACACTTACAGTATTCAGAAACAATTTTCATAGGGATCGTCATCCCGTCGATGAGAGGTCCATGAACAGAGGCGTCAGACTGCCAATCGCCCCCGACCCATAGCCATTCTTCTTGAAACCCAAGGAGGGTCTTGAGGATATCATCAATCAACTCACTAATTTTGAAATCCTTTTGCGGCCTTCCTCCAGCAAAGATACAACATGAAGATTCAGCAACCTTCCTTCCCGGACTTTTCTTAAACGTATAGATACTCCTTATGTCATCTCGGGAAGGGCGCTTCCCAACCTTTATCGTTTAAGAGGATCATTAATCCAATGATCCTCTTCCAACTACTGAGAGTTATTTGACAAATGCTTAACCCCGAGTCGCGCAAGTATTCAGTAATCATATTGGGGAGAGGAAACCTCAACCCCAACCTCAAACTATCCGCAAAAACTCCCACGCAACCCGGAGGAGGACATACGATCCTCTCGCCAGGGTAAGGGGCAAACAACTTTACCGAGGAGGGGACCCGAATTTGCTCTCGCAGAAGAACGACATCGGCGTCAATTAGAATACTCGGTTCCCCCCAAAAATCGACTTTTATGTCTGGCCACCTCCTAATCGGCCTTCTCCAATTATTCAGCACGGTCATCGCCTTATTTTCGGCTTCTTCATCCTCTTCGATGCTGTTTAACTTGATCTCGAGCAACTTGACAAGAATTGGGTCCCATCGGTGGTGTTCGTATATCAACTCCGTCAACTCGGAATCGATTATTTCGACCCCCTCAGATATTAGTCCGACTACTAGAAGCTTCTCCACTCCGCACCGATGATGCCATGTTTGCAAGAAAACTATACGAAACTAGTGATATATAAAGAATTGAAAAAAATTGAAATCACGTCTTACCCTTGAAGTGTCGAGCAAAGCAAAACCCACAACCTGAATCGGTCGAGCGAGGAGAATAGCAGAGAAATTAATATTAATGCGTACAAAGAAGGTATGAAAAGAGAATCAAAGCATAAGACACAGGATTTGCAGATGAAAAGTAAAGATGAAAACCTAATTGAAATTGCAAGTCCCGGTATTTATACCCCCTATTGTGATCGTTACTGTGCAAATTGGGGGCGCGTGAGCTCACGCGCGACGCCCAAGCGACGCGACCTTTTACTTTCTCCTGACCAATACCAATACGCCACGTGCCAACCTATATATATATCCGTTGCAAACCTTCAATGCTAGCGCGTCTTTTCACGAGCCGTCGCCTTAATGACTCATGTCTGTAACCGTTGCGCTGTTTCATTACAAATTTTATTATGCGATACACAAGTTAAATTTCGCTAAGTGTTGGCACCTCGGAATACAGTACCAGTTAATAGAGGGTACAGAACATAAAGGGCCGACGTCGGGATTCGTTTTGAAGCCGGATTCAGAAGTTATTACAAACGACGCCAACAGCTATCACTTTCGTATACCTACTAGCGTCGGGGGCCTCTATGTTGACCACCGACTTGGTAATACACCAGACATTCAAGAGTTAAACGGGATCACAACTAAATTAACCACAGTAACGATGATTTCAAGTCATTCCCAAGCATAACGGCATTTTGGTTACGAGACCGAAGCCATTCGTGACATCGGAATCACGCTCCTTTTATTACCGACGTGGCAAACGACTTCGGCTATTACTGACTTCCAGGTTTCCCTCCACCGACATGACGACGACCCTCGGATAAAACCGAATTCATCAAAATCAAAGCAGGTGACGAGACGCCTACACGACACCCTTGCATTTTGTGCACTACGTCATGATGATCGTGGGCCCAACTGTCATAACCGCCCATTCAGAACTGCTTTTCATAATAAACCCGAATTATTGGAGGGTCTCGAAATACGTGTATGAAAAAGTTACTATAAAAAGGCCGATATTTTCTCAGAAAAGGGGGGACTCTGTTTTTCACTCTGTAACAACTCCACCTCGGTTGCCTGAACACCGACTCAATATCGATTAATTAAAACTCCCAAATTACTCCTATTTTACGTTTTGAATCATGTAATTCAATGTTAATTATGCTGTTACAAATCCATACGACAACAACGAGCAAGTTGTACAAGTGAAAGATATAATTTTAAATAAAAATATACAATTTTTAAAAACTATATTAATTTATAAATAATGAATTTGTTTTATAAATTTAAGTGTAATGTTTTTAATCAAACACGCGTGTATTACATAATTGATTTTATATTATAAATGTATTATATAAAGCCATATGTAAACATCACTAAACTATTTAATAAGATACAAGATATAGCAGAAAAAATAAAATAAGATATCCGGAAAAATAAAATAAAATAAAATGTACCACTGTCGTGGACAAATCCAATTAACTTTTTGTGCAAATCTATTACGTCAGCAAACCACTCTTAATATAATTATTAACTTCATTAGGAAAACAAAATTCAATTTCATTAGATTATAACATTTTCTTGAGATGTTTTCACGAATTCTGTATATATAGATATCTACAAATTTTTGCCTGAGCCAACTCAATCGTTAGGCAATCCACCAATTGTACTCTTTTATTAACGGTTAGACGATTCACTTATCATACTCATTTAATAATATACAAATATATAATGAAATGTCCAGTTTTTATTAAATTACTTTTTATAGTTTTGTATTTTAATTTAAAAATATATGTATATGTATATCCGTTGATAAAATATATTTGTCTAACTTTTGAATGTGACTAAAAGTAGTATAAAAATTTTGAAGTATTTATCAAATTCGGAATAAATACACGCTCTCCTGAACCTTAGTTTGACATCACATTAAAATCTTTTAAATACTTCAGTAAAAATATTATATAATTGAATTGAACTAAAACAATTTGTATAATGTATCTATATCTATATATATCTAAAAAGGTTGATGTAAAAATCCTTTTTTAGAAACTTAAAAATAATTGAGGTGACTTTTGACTTTTGACTTTCTATTTATGTATTCTACTTTAAAATCGGAAGAAAAATCGTGAAAAGGCAGTAGATATTTCGTTAATTTAGCATGAAATTTGCGTTAATTAAGCAAATGGATATTCTACTTAATAATGGTGATATTTCCGTTAATTAAGCATGTGAAATTGATTGTCCGTTCCAAAAATCATGAGACTTACTATCTATCAAATACAATCTGTAATTATTTTATCACTTTGGTTAATAAAAAATTGTATAAAAGGATATTCACTACCACCATTACAACTCATCATTCACGAGTTCAGAGAAAAAAAAATACAGAGAATAATTTTTCATTGCATATACAATATAATGCTTCCAGGCTGGGGTACACTTGATTCCGTTAACAAAATAAACAAATTTTTTTTTTGCGTCTGAGAGCACCCACATTATTGAAATCCATCACGAACGGGAGAGCTGTAACGCATTCCATATACTGTTTCATGATGAACAGGTAATATTTACCTTTCTTATTTCAATTTTATATAATTTAGAAAATTATTTTAATTAATATTTATAAATTTATATGGTGCTTTCATTAAATGCATAATACGTTATCCGAATATGAGAGCAACAAACTTATATAAACTGAGAGCAGTCTAATTTTTGTAAAATATGTAAACTTTAAACGTGTTTTTATATATAAAATTGTATATACTTTTAAACAGGTTAGTTGGACAAACTTTAAGGATATATATATGTGTGTGTATGCTAACTTTAAGTATATATATTTTTCTTATAAAATAGTCTAGACAGAATTGAGGTAATTTCACATTTTTCGATAATAATATAAAATATTTTAATACTTTCACATATGTTATATAATAGTCTACGTATTCTTCATGTCTTTTGGTTGTAACATTGTTAACAGATATAATATTAGATACTTTTAAACATATTTAGATAATTTTTTTACTCATTCTTTAATATCTATGTGCATAAAAAGAGAATAAGATTTGTAAAAGATTTTCCGGCAATATACTAAATGTTAGATAAAAAATCTCATTTTATTTGTTATATAATATTTCGAGTTGCATTAATTTTGATTTGTATGTGTAAACTTGATAAATTAAGTGTATGATAAGGAGCGTACGAATTACTGCAAGGATTTAAAAAATAAAAAATAAATCTAATTTTTTAATATTTTCTACTAAAGTCTAAACGAATTTATGTCATAATTCGTCATAATTTTCCCACATCATGTCAATATTAATTTTATATATACTAGGTAAAAGGTAAATTATTATCTCATTATTTATTCTATATATTCTAAGTAAATCTTCTCATCTATCTCAACGGTACACAGGTAGTATTTCATACTTTTTTATTCATAATCAAATATATCAAAGCTTCACAAATTTTACTTCACAAAGAAAGTGTTCAATAATTTATATTTTTTTCCTTCTTTGCAATCTATTTATTTTTGTTACATATATATAAATTATATTATTTTTAATATTTCACACGTTAAACATTTCAGGAAAATATATCATCACGTGCATCGTACGGGCTACGCGCTAGTGTTCTCAAAATAAGATTATTTTTAACCTCTAAAATAAATACATTTATTATAACAGTTCCTTTCTCGCAAAAACCAAGCAAACCCACCAATAATTTCTCTGCACAAAAAAGTAGGCCAAAAAGAAAACCAAAACCCATTCCCCATGATGGGATGAAAACCACCTTTTAGCGAACTCCAAAAGTTGGTATATTCTATTCCCATTTTAGCCCCACATTTTTTGCACTCAAGTTCTTTAGAGTATCCTCAATTCCTCATAAATTCAGAATAACAATTCTTGCTTAAAAGACAAAAACTGGTCTTTTTTCAAGAAGCTAATTTCGATATACACAATCGCCCTTTAGAGTATGACAGTGGGCCGCTAAAGGAGATGGAATTTTGGCCGGAATTTCTAGCGAGCAGCTGGGGGAAAGAGTTCGTAGCCGGGGGATTCGGCGGCACCGCCGGAGTAATCGCCGGGTACCCGCTGGACACGCTTAGGGTGCGGCAGCAGCACGGCGGCAAAGGGTCGGCTTTGCAGATCCTCCGCCGCCTTGTGGCCACCGATGGCCTCTTGGCCCTTTACCGGGGCATGGCGGCGCCACTGGCTTCTGTTACTTTCCAGGTTAGTTTCTTATTTTATGTTATTATTATTATTCTTTTTTTGTGGAATTTGTAAAATTGTTCCTAAAAAGATGGGGTAAAAACTAAAAAGGTGGATCCATTTACATTTGTTTGAAAAAAAAAATGTTCTGTTTCATTATTCTTTCACAAATATAAAATCTTGATATATTCTGTTTGAACAAGTCTTGAGATNAAAAAAAAAAAAAAAAGGATTATAAATTCGTTGATTGTACACAAACAGTAGTGTTTTAATATACCAAATGCTGCAAAATCGCCTTCTTATACATAGCTTGACAAGTTGTTGCAAGCATAAGGAAATAGGAGAAAACTAATGAAATGCTCTCAAATTTTCACCATCATCCTCAACGAAATCAAGAACTATGTGGTTTTGTTTAAAATACTGTTATTTTGATTGAACTATCTAAATTGGCCGTATTAGGTTCGCCGGAAATGTTTACTAGGAAAAAACTTTTCATCCTTTCACAAATAATTTTCTTTTCGGTTTACAAGATAAACGTTTTTTTCGAAATAAAACTACAGAACGCAATCGCTTTCCAAACCTACGCCATACTCTCCCGAGCAGTCGACCAAAGCCCCAAAAACGAGCCTCCTTCCTACAGAGGGGTAGCCCTTGGCGGCATAGGCACAGGCGCAATACAGAGCCTTCTCCTCAGCCCAGTCGAGCTCGTCAAAATCAATCTTCAGCTAAAACAACACAAAACCTGCAGTGGCCCAGTTGACGTGATGAGAAGCATATTCAGGGCAGAGGGCCTAAGAGGCCTATATCGTGGGCTGACCATAACGGGCCTCAGGGATGGCCCGGCCCACGGCGTGTATTTCTGGACATATGAGTATATGAGGGAGAAGTTCCATCCGGGCTGCCGTAAAAATGGGCAGGAGAGCTTTGGGACGATGCTTCTAGCGGGCGGGCTTGCAGGGGTTGCCAGCTGGATTTGCTGCTATCCGCTGGATGTGGTGAAGACGAGGATTCAGGCGCAGTCTGCGTTTGGTAAGTATGATGGGATTGTGGATTGTTTTAGGAAGAGTGTGAGAGAGGAAGGGCCCGGAGTGCTGTGGAGGGGCTTGGGGACGGCTGTGGCCAGGGCTTTTATTGTCAATGGGGCGATTTTCACGGCCTATGAGACGGCTCTCAGGTGCATTTTTAAGAACAATGGCTANCTTGGAATTGGATTTATAGATTCTTTTAGCCAAATGAAATATTGATAAGATGTTTACAAGGCAAGTTGTCTTCTAAGTTCCAACTCCAAATGAAAAGAAGATTACTACTACTGTTTGAGGAAAAGTAGTAGTTATTCTTCTTTGACATACGTAATTTTCTGCCCATCTCTTGTCATGAAAAGACAAAATATGTGTTTGGAAAGAATAGAAGAGGCTATAAACAAATAAATGTTGCCTTTACGTTAATGGCTATAAATTTCGCTAAAACTATTTATTTGTGCCATACTACGGTCAAACAACAATATTGATTCCTTCCTTTGGGAAATATGTTTTCAGTGTAACTTTGATCATTATTATTTGCTAGTGCTCAAAGGTCAAGTGTAATTTGGCCAAACTTTAGATATTGAAAGTGCAAAAAAAGCCCTATCTTCAAACTAAAAATCCTCAACCACATCAACATTGCACCATTACTAAAAATTCTCAAATGTGAAGTGTCAATACATTAAGTGGTGGATGGCTCCATAAGAAAACCATCTGATGATTCTATAGAATTTTTGCTTCTCCAATGCTTGGTGAAAAAGTCATAAGATTTTGAACATTTTGTATAAAAAGCGGTCTCCCGTACAAACAAAAAATCATTAGTCTAGATGATGTGTCATGTGAAAAAAGTGGACTAGGTCTCCACTTGAGTCTATTTTGAGTCGTGTTCTTCTAGAAGTCGCTAGAAGCTCGACCAACGCCTAGCACCTAGGTGACACATAGAGATTAAGATTAAATATTTTATTTTTTATTTATTTTAACTACCTATAAAATAAAACTATCTCAATTTATAATAAATTAACACACCTATTCAAATGATAATATTAATGTATTATAAAAATGATAACAAAATAACGTAAATATTATTTAAAAAAATTGTCGCCTAGCCGGTTTATTCAGCTTATTCATGCAAACGAAGGCTGTCGGGCGGAGACTAGCGCCTAGGCTAATTTTTAGTATAGTGATTTTGAGACATGAGTCTATACTCAAATATTTTTAATAAAAAATAATTATTTTAAACTCATTATTATTTGTTTTCACATCATTTTAAATCCAACTTAAATTATTAAATTAATAAACCTTCATATCTTTAGACCCAAGTTAAAAACATTGTAGTACGTGTGGTCTATTTTTCTAGTATTTTTTGACATTATTCTAGACTCAAGTTTATGTTAGAAGTTAGAAGGATAACTCGTAAAAGGGATCTACTACAAGGATTGAGTTAGCCAATCCATTACGTCACAACAATCTCACTTCTAAAAATAATAAACATCGTCTGACAAATAAAAATCACTTTCGGGAATCCTTGAAGATGAAAGAAACAACGTACGTGCGATCAAAACGCTTTGTGAGATAGAGAAAGGTTGTACACTCTTACTTAAAGTACTTATCAAATTTTATGAATCAATGGTCTACACGTTTTCAAAACAGAAACGACACCGTGTATGCCAAAAGTATCTTCGGGACCTCTATGTGACATCACTTTCAAATTTACCGAATTTTTTTATGCACATGTTCGATTGCTAATATATTATAATCCACGCATTGTGTTAAAACAATTGAATAATCTATTTTCAAAATGTTGTAACTGGGAAAATATTATACATAAACCTTGGCTGAACGAAACAAAGTCGTCTCAAATTCCTTGGACCTGCAACTCTTAGCCCTGTTCAAGAACGAATAAAAACTCCTAATATCCCGCCACATGTTTGCAGAGTGATTGAGAATCATTGCAATTCTTATTTCTTACTCAAAAAACTGGACACTTCTCTCCCAAGAATCTAATTTGATCCAGATTTNTAAAAAAAAAAAAAAAAAAGGGATATAACAACAATTTGGGAATACTCAACATTCACCTTACCTTAAAGGGACAACAAAAAAAAATGGAATTTTGGCCAGAGTTTCTTGCGAACAGCTGGGTGAAAGAATTTGTTGCCGGAGGATTTGGAGGCACCGCCGGAGTTATTGCCGGATATCCGCTGGACACGCTTAAGGTACAGCAGCAGCACCACAGCAGTGGGTCGGCTTTGCAGATCCTCCGGCGCCTTGTGGCGAGCAATGGACTCCTCACTCTTTACCGGGGCATGGCAGCACCTTTGGCATCCATAACTTTCCAGGTTCTCTCTTTATCTGTGTATGTGTGTGTGTGTGTGTGTTCAAATGTTCACACTTGGATGAGAAAACTTGCAAAAAGGGACATTTTTCTAGAAAAAAAAAATCGAGGGATGAAATGGATTCGAAATATTTTATATTTCAAAATTGGCTCAAGATAAATCAAAGATCTACAATAAATCGTTATCCTATCGAAATTTGTCATAACAGAAAAAAGCTGCATTCTTGCTCAAAAAAGATTAAAAATCCTATCTGCATAAGAGTTTGAAAAATACACCAAATGCTGCAAAATCATCTTCGTACGCATAGAAAGATGGACTCATTCAAGGAATACCTGGTATTACATTTGCTGGTGTCTTTGCCACGAAATATAGAACTTTAGGCTTGGTAACATCATTTCTCATCTAGCCTTGTACTTTACTTTGAAATAATTTCGACAAGGCAAACTTCTCTTTCTCAATCCCACCAGAATGCAATCGCTTTCCAAACCTACGCCATATTCACACGAGCAGTCGACCCACAAAACCCGCCATCCTTCAGAGGGGTGGCCTTAGGCGGCACAGGCACAGGCGCAGTACAGAGCCTCATCCTCTGTCCAGTCGAGCTCGTCAAAATCCATCTTCAGCTACAACAACAACAGGAAAATGCCCACATCCACAGCCACAGAGGCCCACTAGACGTGATGCGAACCATTTTCAAGACCCAAGGCCTTAGAGGTATGTACCGTGGATTGACCATCACACTTCTCAAGGAAGTTCCGAGCCATGGGGCATATTTTTGGACATACGAGTACATGAAGGAGAAGTTACACCCTGGCTGCCGTAAAAATGGGAAGGAGAGTTTAGGGACAATGGTCCTGGCTGGGGGGATGGCTGGGGTTGCCAGCTGGATGTGTTGTTATCCGTTGGATGTGGTGAAGACGAGGATTCAGGCGGAGTCTGCGTTTGGTAAGTATGATGGGATTGTGGATTGTTTTAGGAAGAGTGTGAGGGAGGAAGGGCCTGGTGTGCTGTGGAGGGGTTTGGGGACAACGGTGGCTCGGGCGTTTATAGTCAATGGGGCTATTTTCACGGCATATGAGACGGCTATGAGGTGCATTTAAAAATGACTGAATAATAATAATCATAATAATAATAATAAGGCCTCTGCTAACTTAAGGAGGTCTCAATTATTCTTATGGAGAAGTGAAAGGGAAGCGGGAATCACATTCCATCTACGATTACCTTTCATGCACGCTCACTTACCATATGTGCGAGATCGGATCACGCGACCTGGACCTTCCAAAAGAAGATTGGCAGCGAAGTTTGTTGAAGAACTTACCATATGGAGTTGAGGATAAAAGGACGACGAGATGTGCATTGAGTAGCACTTCTTGATTTTTATTCTTTTGACGAGTGAATCTGAGATTGTTGTGTTGTGGAGTGATTTGTATTTTACATTGAGTGAGGAGATTGTAAGTGCGTGATATTAATTGTGAGTGAAAAAGATAGAGTGAACGGAGGTTCATTCTGTTTTCAATTTGAGGGATTCAAATGTGAAAAACCACAAGGGGTTTGTGGTCGGATAAGTAGTTGTGTAAATCATTGTTCAAGTAGAGTGTAGAGGGAGTCTATACTGTAAACCCTTGAAGAATGTGTGAGTTATTTGCATTAATGAAAGAGATTCGAAGGGAGAGTGGGACGCTCTCCTGAAGGTTCAATCTTTGGTTATACTGCTTCCGCAAACTGTTGAATCTACTTTATATTCTGTTTAGTATTGATTGTGTGCAACTCTGGATACTTGAGATACAAGTGTCAAACTACAACTATTACACCTTCTCTAAATCGTATTGGTGGAGCGACCAAACGAAAATCCCAAAGCTTCTCGATTTTCTTCTTCTAAGACCTCTCGATTTTATCTGAATTTTCTCAAGAGAAGAACTCTTGTTCTTCCACGAGTAACTAGGCGTGTAGAATCCTAGTCTATGCGTGTGGAATATTGTGTCTGGAGGCTAGGGATCTTGGTATATTTATAGGCTACAACAGGGACCCTAAGGAGGTGTTAAAATATGAGATTTTCAAATAGGAATAGAAGACCTTGTGTCTACAACTTGTGTTAACACCTTGTGTTCACACATAGTCCTTATTTGCATAATAGAACATTCCACTAAATTAATATTATTACACTCTCCATTTAGCTCTAAATTACAATTAATTCGTCCCCCAATTAACTACTCAATTTACTTCTCCATGTTTAAGATATAACGTCCTTTGATTGATTTAGTTACTGACACTGTAATTAATCAACTTCTTGAATCGAAAATAGTACCACTCAATTCTTTATTATTATGTACGAAATTAATCAACCGGTCGGGCTTAATATAATTATCCTTCTTGAGCTCATTTCGGAGACGTCATCAACCCGGCGGACCGGAACACGGTGACCGTAGACAATCTTAACGACACATCATATAAACAACATTACTTACCAAAATACTGAATATGTCAACCTAACAGAATAGGTATCACCATTGGTAAATCAAATAAGTGCTGAATACATATGCCTCTTTATTGTCTTACAGGTTAAGAGAACATAACAATTACTGAGGTCTAGATTATTTACTTTGTCAGTATAAAATAATCTTATCCTTCTGTAGGTCCGTTCAATACATACGAAATGTACTAGTGTTATTCATTAGTCAAAGATCAACTAACTCGAAAATTACACTACAGCTTTTCACAATAGTTAGTTCATCTATGTCCGAGTCGTGAAGAAATATTTATATTTTACAAGGCACTTGATAATTTGGTCTTTCTGTTCGACACATCGAACCACATTATCTACAATATAAAATAAAAGAACTATGTTCCATAAATGAATAAACTACGAACATTAACTTGAATAAAGACACACATCACATTCAAAATGGAATTGAGAGTAATCACAAAGCCGAGCTTATATAGTATACTCCAACATACTTATGTTGGAAGTTTTTAGCCTTTCCATCCCTTCACTCAAGCTCTTGACTGTGGTGTTGAGATCATCGAGCTTCTCTTTTGTTTCTTTTGCCGCCATGACTTTTTTCTCTCTTTTTCTCTCTCGACTTTTTGGAATTGTTTTTTTTTCTCTTTTTTTTTTTTTTGAAACTTGAAACATGATCAATTCTCTTAATCAAAGAACTAATGATGAAGATCCTGTATCTCGATGCTCAGTTTTGCTTCAAATGATACGAGGACCGCCTCCTTCTCGACGATAGGTTGCTTAAAGGGTGCTTGGAGACCACCTCTCTTCAGCGATTGGTTGAGGTAGCTTGGGTGTGACTCCTTGCTAACTAGAACTTGTGACGGACGGTTAGAATGCCTCTTCAACACAAGGATATTGCACTAGAACTCAAGTCGAATTCTAACATAAGAAGTTGAACAAAAGTTCTGAAGTTTTATTGATCAAAAACTGAATAATTTGGTCCTAAGCAATGGTATTTCAAGAAAATAGCTAAGTTTAGTCCTAAGGGAAATTAACTTGTAATTCTAAGAAAAGTAAATAACTAGAATCCTAAAAATATCCAAATTAATGAACTCTTAAACAATTTAAGAATAATAATAAAACATGAAGAAAAATAGTCTTGGATTTTCTAGAAGAAATCGTCAAATTGTCCCTCAAGTAACTCTGCCCGCGCCCAGACCCGCGGGTCTCTCGTCCTGCATGCGCTCGCGCGGTTTGTGCGCGCCAGCATTCTTTGCGGCCTGCCAACGTCTGCGCGTGGTCATCCCAAGTCGTCTCAATTCACTGTTGCAGGTATCCAGCGTATGCCTACTGGTCGCGCGTTGATTGCCTGGTCGACCAGTGCGTGGTGTCAGATTTTTCCGATGGGTCTCGGTAGCGACTCGGACTCTTTCTTGCGCGCACGTCGTGCCCGGATATGGGTGTTTATGGGTGCAAGACCTCCACTCGCACAACGTCGTGTAAAATAATCCCTTCTTATTTTGAATGATTACTCATTTTAAGTCTTTAATTCAATTAACCCCTTCTTATTTTGAATGATTACTCATTTTAATTCTTTAATTCAATTAACCCAATTAACTTGACCCATCTGCTGGGTTGCTTCGAGTAAGTTTCCATTCTGATACCATTTTCAAATAAAAGGGTTTTCCGTCTCCGAAATTCACAGAACTTTCTACAAAGGTCATCCCGCCACCATCGACTCCAAGAATTTTCTAGAACACAACCCCATAGCCATTGTCTATCTATATTCTCCTCCTTTCTCCCCATTTCCTTCCCACCAAGGAGCACTGCCATTTGAAACACCCAGCTTGAAGCCGCACCGTCTGATCTCGATCACTCCAGCAATGGCCGACGACAACGCCGTCACGCTCTACAGCAACGCTGCCATCACCGACGCCAAGAAGAACCCCTTGTCCATCAAGGTCGCTGTAGCCCAGATGCTCCGCGGCGGAGCCGTCGTCGAGGTGACGACCCTGGATCAGGCCAAGATCGCCGAGTCCGCCGGCGCGTGCTGCGTCGTCGTCTCCGATCCGCACTTGGCGGGGATCTCCCGCATGGCGGATCCTTCCGTAATCAAGGAAATCAAGCAAGCACTCTCGATCCCCGTGATGGCGAAAGCTAGGGTTGGGCATTTCGTGGAAGCGCAGATCCTCGAGTCGATCGGCGTCGATTACATCGACGAGAGCGAGGCCCTGGCCGTCGCCGACGAGGATCACTTCGTCAACAAGCACAATTTCCGCGCCACGTTCGTCTGCGGGTGCCGGGATCTGGGGGAGGCTCTGAGGAGGGTCAGAGAAGGGGCCGCTTTGATTCGGTCGCAAGGGAATCTCAACAGATCTGGAAATATTGCAGAGACCGTGCGCAGCGTGAGGAAGGTGATGGGCGAGATTAGGGTTTTGAGCAACATGGACGATGACGAGGTTTTCACCTTTTCGAAGAGAATTCAAGCGCCCTACGACATTGTTGCTCAGACTAAGCAGATGGGCCGCTTGCCGGTGGTCCATTTTGCTGCGGGAGGAATAGCAACTCCGGCGGATGCTGCACTGCTGATGCAATTGGGCTGTGATGGGGTTTTCTTGGGCCCGGAGGTTTTCGACTGTTCGGATCCTTATAAGAGAGTTCGGGCCATTGTCCGGGCTGTGAGGAATTATAATGATCCTTTGGAGCTGGCGCAGGCGAGCAGTGGTTTGGAGGACTCAATGGCAGGATTGAATCTCGGTGAAAATAGGGGAGCTTATTGATTGGTTTACTCCAGGTTAGAATTATTTTTCGCAAGTGGATTGATTCATCTGTTTTTCTTGATCTTCAGCTTGAATTCATGGGGTATTGTTGTAATGCTGGTGTGGTGGTACAGCCTTAGAGGTATTCTTTCTTATCTCGTTGTTTTTCTGTATGTGTGGGAAGAAGAAAGCTAATGATAGTGTTGTTGTACCACTTTGTAAGCTAATTGATGAAATAAGATAAGACAGTGTTGTTGTACATGAATTTACATGAGATACGTGAAATATTGTTTGGACATTGTCTTGTCAGGAATTTGAATTCAGTGATGTTGTTTTGTTGTGCAGAAGGATTTGCTTCTTCTGTAATGTGTCTTTCTGGGTGAATTTGCTTATCAATTTGTGTGTATGCTTGGGGAAGAACATTTCATTATTCTAGGAATTAGCAATGCTCGAGCTCTCTGAGGTCCAAGATGATCCCCGTGAACAAATATATATGCATATTTACTGTACACAATATATATATACACATAGGGGTATATTGCAGAAGGATATGCTATGATTAAAAACAGTTATATGTGCAAGAAGTATATTGCAACACACAATGCATATGCCTTGGTAGACACAAGAGATCAGTGATAAAGCTTAAAGCTTATGAGTAATATTATTCTTGAGGTACTTCATATACAATCCCGACAAAAATAATACCCTTCATTTTAGTTTGCAATGCAAATAATTTTTTAAGCATGTTTTGTATAATTTAATATAACTCAGACATGACTTTCTTACACAATTACACACTTTCGTTCCGTTCTTTGCATCTTCACCGTGTTAGCATTCTTTATTCTTTATCTACTTGTTCTTTGTCATTTGGCGTAACTTATTGATGTTTTTTAGCTGATATTCCTCAAATTGTCTTGCTAAAAATTGTTGTTTGCCATCAGGAATAGTTTGTTTTTGTTTAGTTTTATTACCCTAAATAATAACTTGATGGGTTTTCTTCGGATGTGATGAATCTGAATCTTAGTGTGTCTATTCTGATACAGTGAATTGGAAAAATCTGTGCTTTGACTTAAGTAATGGGTTTTCTTGCAATTTGCTTCTGCCAGTGATGGTGTTAAATATACTTTGAGTGTTTTCACTACGAAAAGCATATCATCTGAGGCTTAGGCAATTGATTTTTGTTTTACCTTTTGATTCTAATTTTTTGTTATTTGATTTGCTTTTCCTATCCTGTAATGAAATAGGTGTGTTGTATTATGTATTTGGCAAATGATGATAAAATAGACAGGGACATCAGAGCTCCTCTGGGAGAAAAAGACGACTTAGTCTAATGGGAATCTCTCTGATGCTAATTTTCAGATTAATGTTTGAACGTGTGCTTGTTTTTTACTTGTTATGTGGTGTTATTCAAGTATTTATGTAGCTTTATTGTGTCAAATTAATGTGCTTACATAGTTGAGATCAAAATTAAGCATCTTTTTATGTTGAAATTTCGGAAAATACATTCTTTTCACTTTATCTTTGCAAAAATGCAACCTTTCGATTGTAATACCATTTGTTGTGTGTTGTTACAGTCATGGAAAGAGACAGTTCCCGCATTGTGTTGCTAAAATTTTGTTTGCCATTAGGAATAGTTTATTGAGTTGTTAACTTGCTAAAATAACTCGTGGGTTTTCTCCTGTTGTGATGAACCTGAATGCCAATGTGTGGCTTGAATATCTTGCATTTTCTCAGTGAATGTGTGCACAAACTTGTGTTTGACTAAAGCAATGAGTTTTTTTGCAATTTGCTTCTGCCTATGATGGTGTTAAATATACTTTGAGTGTTTCACTATGAAAAGCATATCATCTGAGGCTTTGAGGCAATTGATATGTTGGTTTGCTTTCGATTCTATGTTTTGTTAAATTGTTACTTGATTTGTTTTTCCTGTTTTATCTTATAATGAAATGGGTTTGTTTCAGTTTGTATTTGGCAAATGATGATAAAACAGACAGGGACATCAGAGCTCCTCTTAGAGAGAATGATGACTTAGTCTAATGGGAATCTCTCTGATGCTAATTTTTAAATTAAAGCTTGAACTTTTGCTTGTTTTTTGATGTGTTATGTGTTGTTATTCAAGTGTTGTAGTTTTGTTTTTGTCAAATTAGTGGTATTTACAGAGTTGATAGGAAAATTAAGCATATTTTTGTATAGACATTTTAAAAAAATACATCTTTTCAATTTTCTCTTTGCAAAAATGCCACCTTTTGATTACAATTCAATTGGTTGTGTGTTGTTTTAGTCTGGATAACTATCAATAACAGCTGCAAGGCAGCAAAGACCTTTCTTACAAATTCACAGAATTAAAACTGGAAGAAGCTTTTGGTCAAAAAAAGAACGTCAGCAATGGCACCGAAGATGAAATATAGAGTCTGGATAACTATCAATAACAGCATTGTGTTGCCTGTGATGCATATTATTGCACGTATTATCAGAAATAAGTGTGATGATACATGATTGTCACTACCTCTGAGGCAAATCTCCCAATGCTGGAAAATTTAAATGATTTGATTGTATTTTTACCCCATTACAGTGTCCATTAATTGGAAAATTAAATTGTTAAGCTCAGGTTGAACTTTCAGTATCCAATTTGTGTATTCTTTTGTATTATTCTTCTTTATACGTGTCCAAGTACATCACATTTTTTTTTNTACGTGTACAAGTACATCACATTTTTTTTGTGTGTATTTAGATGAGTTCCTATTTTGTGTATTAGTGTTTCTTGTGTGTCCCAGTGCCTGATGATTACTTAAAAAGAACGGAGATTTGAAGGTTGCTCTTTGTTGAAGCCTGGTTTAATCACATTGGCTCCAAAAAGCGTTTATGTAATGAACTCTTTCTTGTGTACATGAAGGCAGGGACCCCCCTTTTAACTATTTTCCTTTTTTCCAACAATCTTTTTTTCTGACAATCCTTTGTGATTAGGGTTGTAACTAAATTGAACTGGATTAAACACAAAATTGTTCAAGAGCATATTTGATCTAGTTTTTGTCCATTGCAATTGGAGCTAGAAGAGTCATTGTTGACAATTCTCCTAGCATAGTGCTAATAATAGACTAGATCAAAGTGGCTCAATTACATTCTAATGCTTCTTCTATTAGTGAAGTTTCTAGAAAAAAAAAATATATCAAACGACCCAATGCACCTTGGGTCGCTTCGGAAACAGCCTCCTTGTATAATTACAAGGGTAAGGTCTGCGTACAACTGACTCCTCAGACCCCAACATGTTGAGAATATACTGGGTATGTTGTTGTTGTTGTTGTTGTTCTGTATAATTTAATATATGATGTCAATGTATCTTTATCTACCCTATCGTTTTATGGGGTTGGTATGTTTCTCTTTGTTCATTATTATTATTATTGATAAAATTTCATATATACCACTATGTGTGATTCCATGTACTATTTGAATTAAAATCGACTCCTAAGAAGATTTATAAATCTTCATTTATTTCAATAATAAAATGATACTGCCAGTTGTCATGCTTCTAATATAATTTTTGTCTTGAATTATATAATATTTAAATATTAAAAAAAATAGTTGAAAAGGAGAAACAATTTTTTTTTTATAGTTTGTATATAGCAACTTAATATAATATTTGGACGTACACTTTGAAACTAATTATCACATTCTTTTTTGCTTAAGTAAAATAAATTAATTCTCACAAACAAAATAGGACAACTATCGGTCCTCTCATTTCGTCTTGATTGACTAACTTCTATTAAACAAAGCTCCTTCTTTTCTCCCCTCTCCTTTTCAGTCGAGCCCTCCTTCCTCGTCCCTCGTCCCTATCCATTTGGTCGAGCTCAAACCTCTCCCTTTGGTCGAGCTCAATTATATCGACCCTTCCTACTACAACATTAACTAACGGTTAATCTCTTTCATAAGCTCCCTCGTACCTCGTCCCTCTCCATTTAGTTGAGCTCAAACCTCTTCTTTTGATTGAGCTCAATTACATCGACCCTCTCTACTACAATATTAATTAACTTAACGGTTAAGCTCTTTCATAAGCTGAGCTCTTCTTAACCAGTACATTTTTTTTTCTTACTGTAGCATATAGCGAATCGCCACTTCAAAGGCTTAACCTCTTTATTTTGTTTTTCACTTTTCTAAATCCGAAATAGCGGGGTCTTACTTATGATCGGAGAAAGAGAAAGGGCAATATCCCGCTGCTAAGTAGAGTAGTGGCATAGTGCTTCCACCCTTTTTGGTCTTAGCCCTTCACCTGCCTATCATATCGACTCAGCTTCGTCCTAGAAGCTACTGCTTACGCCACTTGAGGCATGAGCGATAGCTCATGACTAATATAATTTTTTATTACTCAACAATAAAAGTAGAAATAAAAAATACAATGTTTTTTAGGTGTCTAGGCGGTTCAATTTTTTATTAAAAACAACTACGACCCGCCTTCCGATCCAGAACCGGCGGGTCAAAAAAGAAAAATTATGACTCGGAATCGACCCTTAAAGGCTAAGAGTCCGATTCAAAAACCGGTAAATCTGGACCTGTTCCAGGCCATGCCAACGGGCTGGGTCGACCTTTAACCATGTCTATGTTCGTATAAAGGAGCTTAATTTGGAGGCATTGTGATAATATTTAAAAATATATTTACAAATTAATCATCACTTTTTCGTTCCTTGAGAAACTACATTAGGCCTACAAACTTCTCCACATGAAATGTGATTGTTTTCACCAAGTCTACGAACTCTTGTAGGTGAATTGGTTTTCAAGCATTTTTGTTTGTTTTTGAATTCTTGAAGAAAAAATGGCATAGCTACTAATAAAATTGGCAATTCTGAATGTCCATCTATTTCATATAATTTAAAATTGATATAACCCTTAGTCAAACAAATAATAAAAAAAATTTTTAAAAAAAAAACAAATAATAATAATTTTAACCATTTGATTAAGTCAACTCAGTGCATTGATATTTTTCAAACGCAATATTTTATTTACAGGAGATACAATTGCGTGGGAAGTTA